AAATTTTTCACTGTGGAAAACAAATGACAACGCCTTCCCTGGCTTCGTTTGTGTACCTTTTTCTCTATGTTGCTGTAGTCGTTTAGGTCGTGTTACTACTGATGGGATTTCGTGAAGTGTTGGCTTCATTGTTTTCCAGTGTTATTGACAGGCCGTGATGAGAAATATTCCTCTGTCATTTATCAAACAGGAACTGTAGGTGAAATCTGGAGGCGATGGAAGCTTTGGAAGCAAATTTACGGCTATTTTCTTCCTTCGGTAAATTCGCTGTTAAAAAAAAATATCTGTGCGTTTTGTGATCTAAATTACCACTCTCCTTCGGTAAACTTGTAGGGCTTTGCGATTGGTCGCGATGAAAAATATCTGTGAGATTTGCAAGCTTATTCACCACGTTTAAAGGATGTAGCTTAGCTAGAAGATGCTCAGTTTATCTTTCTAATTTTCCATACATTTGTCTGTAAATTTGGCCGGGTGGATGCGGCTTGCGGGAAAAAAAATACAGACAAATATATGGAAAATTGGAAAAATTAACTGAGAGTCTTCTAGCTAAGCTACATCCTTCAAACTTGGTGAATACAATCTTCCACCTAGTGCTTTATACCTATCAGAATGAATGATAGGAAATAAATAGAGGAATTTAAAACATACTAAACGTATTCATGGAGAAACTTTTTNATGCCAACTCAACTATCCACAGAAAAACACTGACTCACATTTTGCCATTCGGCAGGTGCGAACTGTGTGATTTCTTTCATGACAATTAAGCTTACTTAGCGTTGCCCGGTATTTCCAAGCACGGAAGCTGCGTCTCTTATCTTGGCAGAGGTTTATTCAAGTCAGTCTTATCTCTTAGCGCTTGCTTCCTTAAATTTAAACTTTAATTCTTGCCTCTTTTCAGGGGCACCCAACCACCATTTCCTCTCAAATGCTTTTAAACGCTGTTTTAAGCTATTTGAAGTACTTTTAAAGCTCTGTAGGTTAATTTTAGATTGCACTAAAAAAAATTTATCTGTTTGGTTATTCTAGGGGAACTTGAGTATTCTTGAATTTATTAGGGCTTTTTTGTCCATTCCCTGAAAACCTTAGGTCTCATCGCCTTTCCGAAAATGATAGCTGACTTTTTTTTGGTACTCCAAACGACATTTTCTACAATTCGAAAACAACAGACATTAAATTTCTCGTATCACGAAAGTTCGAGGTCACAATTCTCTTCAGAAAATCAGTGGGGATTAAAGGCCTTCCCAACAGGTAAGTTACCAAAACGATCCGTTGGGTGCCCCTGTCTTTTCCTCGATGAACCTTTCACATTGGCTAAGTAACTGACGCCTGCTTGTCGAAAGAGAAACTTCGCTTTTTTTCTGTACTCGATACTCGTCCGCATCATTGTTCAGTTCAGCCCGACGTGGAGACCTTTTTTCGTGCAGGAGATTTTAAATTTGATTCAGGGCTTTGTAACTGCTGTGTTGATGCTGTATGATGTTTCAAGCTGCTTTTTACTCTCTCAGGCATTGTTAGCCGAGCAATCATGTTCAAGACTAGTCTTTTGTTATCTTTTGTGGCTTTCAGGGAGAAAATGAAGATCATCTTCAGCTAGATATTGCGTGGACAATGTTGAGGTGAACCCTTTCTTCCTCAATTCCCCTGGATATTGTAAAAGATCAGAGTCGATATCCGACAGAAATTCCTCTCTTGATTTCCTATAGTTCATTCTGATTTTCAAAACTACAAAAGACAAAATGCCTGTACGCGTTGCTGACTTTGCCCCTCTTCAAGTGTTTGCGGAGTGGCGCCAAAACATTCCCAAGTGGGCGGGTAAACTTTGAAGCGATCCTCCACCGGGATCTTCCTTTGTAATAGCTAGTAGTTACAGTGTAGTTACGGCATGTATTTCAGAAAATTTATTGAAAAGTTCGACTGATCGTGTGACAGGAAGTCACGCCAACATTTTACCAAATTAGATTCGATGTCAATGACAAAGCAAACACACTTCAATGTAGTGAATGGGGTTGACAAGCCTCCGATTCATGACTCCTACAATTTGTGACATTTGAAAAAAAGCTCAGAAAAAAAATTCTTACCCTCGACATGTGACCCTCGACCCTCGACCCTCGACCCTCGACCCTTGACAAAAAGATAGACTCCTTGTCCCCTTGGTATCTGCCCAACAAACGGATACTTTGAGTGATAATCAGTGACTACTAGGTACTCTGAACCCTTTAAGGTAAAGAGGTCTGTGCCAATCGTATGCCATGCCCTTTGTGGCATCTCTGTGAGGATCAGGGGCTCTCTTTGCTGGCTTGGCTGTAGCTCCTGGCAAGTGCTACATGTCTTGGTTATCTCATCTATGTCTTTGTTTAGCCCTCTCTAGTATACAGACATCCTGGCCCTGAGCTTTGTCTTCTCAGTTCCTTGGGGTGCCGCATGGAACTTTGTCAAGATCTCCTTCTGTAGTACAGTGG